CTACAGCCTATTTTAAACTGAAAGCTTGCTGAGTAATACAAAGTACTAACAATATGTTTGCTAATAACCCTGCAGACCCCTTCTGTCAGAGAATAAAAACATACTGAGAAAATATTCAGCCAAATGGTGTTTAGAAGGAAAACACCACGGTAACAAAAGCTTTAACGGGCAGGTTAGCAATCCATCCTCCCTGCCTGTTAAGTCATTTCAGTGTCACTATTGGAGAAGGGCTATACAGGTAATTATCTCCTCTGGTCTGCAATTGAAATCCCAATATCCAACCACTTCTGATTTACCACTAAATCCCTGAAGTCAACACTGATCCAGGGGAAGAAGTAAAGACCAAATGTGTTGCTTTAAATGAGGTCTGATGTTTTTTCACTTTTCCCCATCATCCCATTCCAGACCCTCCCTTACAAAAATTCATCACTTCTGACAGTTCCCCTGTGGGGTGTACATGGGGAGGTGTCATCTCCATCGGACAAGATATTTAACCAGCTACTTAAGAGCCAAAGGGGAATGGAACCAGAACAACTGACTCACACATCACAGCTTGAACCACTAGACCGAGTTTCCGCCCTGAGAAGCAGATGATTCAGTCAACAGTGATTCATCCCACCAAGGAAAATGTGTTTTTCCTGGGATGGAGTCCATTTTAAGCATAATAATATCAAAAATGTAAAGGTTAGTGAAAAGACCATTCTGCTTAAATTCAACAGCCATGTAGACTTTTCAGTTACAATATACAAATACATACTGTCACATGACCTGAAAAAGCTATGAAATGTGAGCACGGTTCATGGAAGTGTCTGAAAGCAACTATTAAGACTTTGATTTAAAATATTATCAAGAAAGTAGGTAAATGTGCACTTACACACTTAAATTGGATAAACTAAACTCTAAAAATATTTTAACTTTAAAATTTAAGTCATCATTAAAGAAAACTCTTTAAAGGAATAATTTTAACTTCTGGTAAGACCACAAGAGAATTTTAATATAAACAAACTTGGTGCAAATGCTGGCTGAATTGGTACATTAAGAAAATTAATGATTGCTGCATTTATTAAATTCCTACTATGTGACCTCTCTAATTTTCATAGGTCAAAATAAATATTATCTGGCCCTAACTGGTTTGGCTCAGTGGATAGAGCATTGGTCTGCGGACTGAAGGGTCTCAGGTTCGATTCTGGTCAAGGGCATGTACCTTGGTTGCGCCCTTTCTCTCTATAAATAAATAAATAAATAAAATATTATCTGCATTTTGCTAAGGAGAGATCAGAGGTTCAAGGAAGTTCAGTGATTTGCCCAAGGTGAAGTAAACTTCTGTTCTGAAATTCAAATGTAAGCAATTCTGGTTCCAAAACTATCCTGACAATTTAACAATTCTTCACTATATCATTCTCTCTCTCTCTCTCTCTCTCTCTCTCTCTCTCCAGTCACATACAGCTAGTTATTGGAATTATGAGTTTTTATAGCAAACATGTTACCATTTCAACTCATTCAAATACTTTTACTGTATTACTGTACAGTAGACTCAAATAGGGTTGTTTAAGGTATTTCTTACATGAATAAGAAGCAACCAAGGCTAAAAGAAGTGAAACTGAGATCACTGTGCACATCCCCAAGTTGAAAGTGACATTCTTAGCTTTGGTCACTCAAGGAACCAGACACATGTATACCTCTAGATTTGAAGTTCTGCGTTTTAATTTGTATTAAGTATTTCAACGGTGGTTTTCATGCAGGCTGATGCATAGAGGCTTTACCATACTTCTCTGATGTAAGAAGTAGTATCCACTAACTTTTGTAAAGCCTTTCATACAAATAAGCCTGGCATACTTAAGACATTCACCAGGATTGTCAGGTCCATGTGATAGTGTGGCCAGTTACTTTGATGAAATAAGTAGAATTATATAGTAAATACCACATACTACTATAATTTTTATTACTGTTATTATCTATATATATAAAACGCCAGTGACCAAAACACCGGAATGACTGGTCGCTATGATGCCCACTGCGGCCAGCAAACTGCCAATCAGCGGGGGTGAGGGGCTGGCAGCCACCTCCTATGGCCCCTCCCCCTGACCAGCCCCGCCCCCAAT